TGTTGGTACTGCTGACAGCATGGCGATGCCGCCCACCATGAGGAGGCCTCCTACTTCTGGATGCTGCACCTGCAAAAGAGCTTGAGCTTGATCAATTGTAAAATTGTCTAACCAGGAGTGTGACGGAGGAATGACCCACCGAAGGTCCTCCATCCAGCCACAGAGAGCAGCTGGCCTTACCTGCCCCTGTTGGACACTAGTGATGAGAACCTCACTAGTGTCATGACTGACCACGAGAATCCAAATAGGTCAGATCAGGTTTGCAATTAATAACTTCAATCAGACCCCCTCTGGGGGAAGGAAATAACTAGTGGGGATTAACAACTCACGTCCTGTTGTACATCAAGGGAGAAGATCCAGGCCTGTGCTCTCCAAATTCGCCAAAGGAACGTGCTTTGTTTCAACAGACCCATTTCCCGCTGAAAATCTAACACGTTCAAAATCGAATACTGGAACAATATTTCTAACGTAGAATGTGGGGAATGGTCAGAGGCGATCTATAGAACACTAATGTCATTTTGTTTGTTATTTTGTGATGTCATTAAAAATGTTAAAAAGGAAATACTGTAACTTGGAAAGTATACCCACTACTTAGATGAAGTTTCCATACTATGGGTTGTGCATGTAATATCAAAAATTATGAAAGTGTTTTTGTTAAGAAAGGGATGTGATTTGAGAAGTTATAAGAGATAATTGTTTTTCATAACTTTGCACAGTAAGTAATGACAGCCCCGAAGTGAGTCAGGGAGCATACCGCCTGGCTGGCAGGCCAGTGCTGGGATCTGTGGTGGCACATTCAACACAAGGTTTGGCTGCGTCCTGGGCTATACTGAGAGGAGTGCCCCTCGCTGATATTTGTGCTGCGGCCAGCTGGGCTTCCTCTTGCACCTTTTCTAGGTACTATCGGGTAAATGTGGCACCTCCCTCCCTCAGCGGTTGGTTCAGCGGTCCTGGGTGTTGCCTCCCCTTCCGGGGACTGTGCCGGGACCCGCCTTCCACATTGACGGCCCCTGTATCTCGGTTCCACGCTGGGACTTTGCCGCTGGCTGGCCAGGTCCCTCTAGCACCGACTAAATCTGGTACGGGTATACCAATATATTGGAGTGATCCAATATAGTGAAACATAACAAAGGTTACGTATGTAACCACGGTTATGTGAGCTATATGGATCACTCCAATCCTCTACGGTGCTAGAGGCGCCTCAAAAATGATGTAGAGAACGTGTGTTGCAGCCATGGGGTCTATATATAGGGGCGAACCCCAGCCGTGACACAGGTGTACACGGCAGTAAATCTGTAAATCCTCACCTCGGATGTATCCCCCCGCCGCGGAATGATACCAATATATTGAAGTGATCCATATAGCTCACATAACCGTGGTTACATACGTAACCTTCGATATTCTACACGCAACAGACCGGAAGGAAGGACTATAGTTTTTTGTGTTACGTTTTTTAGTGGCTAACCCACTATGTTTATAAACCAACAAACCCTAATTTGGCACTATATACAACCATTTGTTTTTAATGTGTAGTTGCTCCTTGTTTCTGTCGACCAACATTTGCTTTTTCAGTTTGAGAAGTGCTCCTTCATAATACATTTGAATACATTATAACAAAATACATTTTATAAACTGCATAAGATAAGATTAAAGAAGATGAGAAGACACCGTGTTTCATATTGACAGCACTAAAATTACAATGAAGATTCAACTCTTTAAAGAACATACAAGCTAATATTACAATTAATAATTTACAACTCATAGCTTAAAAATGAATAGCATGATGAATGAAAACAACAAGCATGTCACTCATTCTCCTTTATCTTTCTGGCAAGCAACCTACAGTAGTGTAGTTGAATGTTCCTACACCAGTCAATTGTTTGTCTCCCCCTGATGATGATAGTTTTATCTGCACCATAAAAACTAGAACAGACATTCATGTTTTTCTGCTACACATATTGCTGCTTTCACACTATATGCCAGTGTCAGTTTGCCATTGCACTGGTTTAAAGCTTTTCAATGGTTCATTTTCTAATCTCTTTTTTGTGACAGGGTCACAGCTGAAGGATCACACCTGAGTCAACTGGTGTTCCCTGAGGTACATTTTGGCCCCGCTCAACTTCCTGCTCTGTCTAGCTCACCTTCCTCCACACCCTCATGCTCCTCGTCCTGCCACAGCGAGGTCTTGTTGTGCGTGTACTCGGTGTCGTCCTCACACTTCATCTCGCAGTGGTAGAAGTATCTGAAGTTGGACACAATGACAGGCACAGGCAGCGAGATGGTAAGCATGCCGGCAATGGCCAACCACACCGTCTCGGGGTACATGTCGCTGTAGCCCATGGTTGTCATGGTGACCACAGACCACCAGAAGGCGTCGGCGATGCTGACGAACGCTGTGTCCTTGTGGTTGCATCGATGCAATCTTCAACGAAAAGTATGGACAGAAATATGACGCAACCACGTATAAAACGATGCAACATTTCTTGAAGTCAATGATAGTAAAAGCTATTATTTGAGTTGAAGCGAGAGAAAATAAACTCTGACTTCGGAATGAAACGTTGCCCATTCACATCTCATATATTGACTGACTACAATATTGTATCTTGAAATAGTTAAAAAATACATTGCGTTCATTTTGGCATGTTTACCTGCCTTCAATAGCCACTGTAGTTTGCATAGATTGCATGCCCATGGTAAGTGAATAGGGCGAACTGGCTAACTACTACCGTTAGCTAGCTAGCTAGCCACGAAGAATTGGTAGCTAGCTAACCATGAAGAATTGACTACTACCTTGCATAACATTAATTGTAGGTAATTCTTGCCTGTTAAACTATCTGGTTAGCAAGATTATTACGATTCACATATACAGTTGAAGTCGGAAGTTTACATACACTTAGGTTGGAGTCATTAAAACTTGTTTTTCAACCACTCCACACATTTCTTGTTAACAAACTATATTTTTGGCAAGTCGGTTAGGACATCTACTTTGTGCATGACACAAGTCATTTTTCCAACAATTGTTTACAGACAGATTATTTCACTTATAATTCACTGTATCACAATTCCAGTGGGTCAGAAGTTTACATACACTAAGACTGTGCCTTTAAACAGCTTGGAAAATTCCAGAAAATTATGTCATGGCTTTAGAAGATTCTGATAGGCTAATTGACATCATTTGAGTCAATTGGAGGTATACCTGTGGATGTATTTCAAGGCCTACCTTCAAACTCAGTGCCTCTTTGCTTGACAAAAGAAACCAGCCAAGACCTCAGAATTTTATTTGTAGACCTCCACAAGTCTAGTTAATCCTTGGGAGCAATTTCCAAATGCCTGAATGTACCACGTTCATCTGTACAAACAATAGTATGCAAGTATAAACACCATGGGACCACGCAGCCGTCATACAGCTCAGGAAGGAGACGCATTCTGTCTCCTAGAGATGAACGTACTTTGGTGCGAAAAGTGCAAATCAATTCCAGAACAACAGCAAAGGACCTTGTGAAGATGCTGGAGGAAACAGGTACAAGTCTATATCCAAGATAACGAGTCCTATATCGACATAACCTGAAAGGCCGCTCAGCAAGGAAGAAGCCACTGCTCCAAAACCACCATAAAAAAAGCCAGACTACGGTTTGCAACTGCACATGGGGACAAAGATCGTACTTTTTGGAGAAATGTCCTCTGGTCTGATGAAACAAAAATATAACTGTTTGGCCATAATGACCATCGTTAAGTTTGGAGGAAAAAGGGGGTTGCTTGCAAGCCAAAGAACACCATCTCAACCGTGAAGCACGGGGGTGGCAGCATCATGCTGTGGGGTTGCTTTGCTGCAGGAGGGACTGGTGCACTTCACAAAATAGTTGGCATCATGAGGAAGTAAAATTATTTGGATATATTGAAGCAACATTTCAAGACATCAGTCAGGAAGTTAAATCAAAGTTGGCAAAATGGCTTAAGGACAACAAAGTCAAGGTATTGGAGTGGCCATCACAAAGCCTTGAACTCAATCCTATAGAAAATGTGTGGGCAGAACTGAAAAAAGTGTGTGCGAGCAAGGAGGCCTACAAACCTGACTCAGTTACACCAGCTCTGTCAGGAGGAATGGGCCAAAATTCACCCAACTTATTGTGGGAAGCTTATAGAAGGCTACCCGAAACATTTGACCCAAGTTAAACAATTTAAAGGCAATGCTAACAAATACTAATTGAGTGTATGTAAACTTCTGACACACTGGGAATGTGATGAAAGAAATAAAAACTGAAATAAATCATTCTCTCTACTATTATTCTGACATTTCACATTCTTAAAATAACTGACCTAAGACAGGGAATTTTTTCAGGAATTGTGAAAAACAGAGTTTAAATGTATTTGGTTAAGGTGTATGTAAACTTCTGACTTCAACTGTAGTTGATGGTTATGAGGTAAAACGTTTGCTTTGTGTATATCTTGTTTCGTGTCTATTGCCATTGTCCTGGTTGGAAGAAGGTTCAGTGAATGGGTAAATCCATAGTAAGTCAATAGGGCTAACTGGCTAGCTAGCTAGCCAGTAAGAATTGGTAGCTTGTTACCCACGAAGAATTGACATCTACCTTGCAGAACATTAGTTTAAAGTCATTTGGCTGTTTAACTAGCTGGCTAGCTAGATTATTACGATTCACATATAGCTAGCTGATAATTGTGAAGTAAAACGTTTGCTTTGTGTGTATCTTGTTTCGTCTCTATTGCCATTGTCCTGGCTGGAAGAAGGTTCAGTGAATGGGGAGGTGCAGCGTGTGTGAGGTAATACAGTAGGGGGAGTGCGAGTGCTTCTCAAATGTAATGTTTTATGCGTACTCCACACTCTCGTCCTCACAAGAACGGACTCAAGAGAACGTCCTCGGAGAATGCACTCGAAGCATGACAGTTTGGAGTACGGTAGTATGCATATTGATAAATACCCCCTGACTAACCTGATCACCCGGATGATGGACAGTGACATTCCCGGGGCCTTCTCAGTGTCCTTAGTAGGGCAGGATGGTTGTGAAGTCGATGATGTTCATCACATCCTTGAAAAAGTGCATCTGGCTGGGCAAGCAGGCAAAACGCATGAGCAGCTCAAAAGAGAGCCAGCAGACACACATGGTCTCCACCAGGAAGAAGGTGTCCTGGAAGACGCTGGCCCCCCCCCACCGAGATCTCCAAGGAGAAACATGAGTGTTCACGCCACTCCCCATGCTCCCCATCCATCTCCACTGTCGCTATCCCATCTCCCTCCTCTGCGGCCCAGCCGCATAGCCAACACTCTTCAGTCGGCCTGCCACTCCTCACTGGGGAGACAAGATTGCACTGTTACAAGCGCTTCCTGGCAGTCACCCCTCGTGCAAAAGGCAGCCACCGTCAGCCTAGTATAGCTCTCCTGAAGGAATGTGATAACATTACCAGGCAGATTGCGCAAGATTGACTTTGAAATTGGACGTCTGTCCATGTGCTGAGAATGTCGGGAAATGCCATCAAAACCGGCCACTAGGGGCAACAGTGAGCGCTATTACCATGACTCCGGATCCAAAGGTTGCATGTTCAATCTCAGTGGTAGATACAAATGTTTTATTTTAACTCTATCCCAAACCTTTTAAAGGGATACTTCTGGATTTTGGCAATGGGGCCCTTTATCTACATCCCCAGAGTCAGATGAACTCGTGGATATGAAGGAAGTTAGAGGTAGTTTTGCGAGCCAATGCTAACTAGCGTTAACAGAGTGACTGGTAGTCAATGGGTATCTACAAGACACATCCCATAGCTACACACCTCCCATTCAAGACACACCAGAACTACACACATCCAGGGCCGGATTAATGAAGCCCCTGGGCCCAGGGCCGTGGGGGGCCCAAAAGGCAACAAAAAAATACAAAAATGTATTTTAAGAAATGAAGGAAATATATACAGTATATATTATATATACAGTATATATTATATAACCACAGGAGGACTCAGGAGCCCGCTCTCAATAAGTTTAGACTGCCTGCTGCTGCCTGTGCCGCTCTGCTGATCATCAGATGTGGGTAGGAGAGGAGGTAGGGGGCCCACGTGGGTAACTGGGATGCCCTGCCTTGACAGGGTAACCAATTGATAAAATAAAAAACTGCATAATAAGTAAATGTGACTGGTCAATTGTGTCAGTCAGGGGCTGTGCCAGTAAGGGACCAAAGAGACCAAAAAACACAAATAAACATTACATTATTTATTTGTATTATATATATTTTTTTTCATCCAAACACAGGAGCCCGCTCTCAATGTTCAACATACACCAGAGAGAATAATTTTGCCACAGAGGATCAATAGTTTAAAAAAATAACTGTAGATTAAGTTTTATCACAAGCACATACAGGTAACTGCCAAAATAAAGGAAACACCAACATAAACTGTCTTGAAAAGGTGTCAGGCCACCACGAGCTGGCAGAACCGCTTCAATGTGCATTGGCATAGATTCTATAAGTGGACCTAAACCATGCCAGGAAAATGCACCCCACAACATAACATACAGTGCCTTAGGAAAGTATTCATACCCCATTAACATTTTCCACTTTTTGTTACGTTACAGCCTTATTCAAAAAAAAAAATCCCCCTTCATCAATCTACACACAACACCCCATACTGACAAAGCAAAAACAGTTTACATAAGTATTCAGACCATTTACTCAGTACTTTGTTGAAGCACCTTTGGCAGCGATTACAGCATCAAGTCTTCTTGGGTATGATGCTACAAGCTTGGCACACATGTATTAGGTCAGTTTCTCCCATTCTTCTCTGCAGATCCTCTCAAGCTCTGTCAGGTTGGATGGGGAGCATTGCTGCACAGCTATTTTCAGGTCTCTCCAGAGATGTTAGATCGGGTTCAAGTCCGGGCTCTGGCTGGGCCACTCAAGGACATTCAGAGACTTGTCCCGAAGCCACTCCTGCGTTGTCTTGGTTGTGTGCTTAGGGTCGTTGTCCTGTTGGAAGGTGAACCTTCGCCCCAGTCTGAGGTCCTGAGCGCTCTGGGGCAGGTTTTCATCAAGGAGCTCTCTGTACTTTGCTCCGTTCATCTTTGCCTCGATCCTGACTAGTCTCCCACTTTCCCTGGTTCCAAACTTCTTCCATTTAAGACTGATGGAGGCCACTGAGTTCTTGGGGACCTTCACTGCTGTAGACATTTTTTGGTACCCTTCCCCAGATCTGTGCCTCGACACAATCTTGGCTCAGAGCTCTACGGACAATTCCTTCGACCTCATGGCTTGGTTTTTGCTCTGACATGCACTGTCAACTGTGGGACAGGTGTGTGCCTTTCCAAATCATGTCCAATCAATTGAATTTACCACAGGTGGACTCCAATCAAGTTGTAGAAACATCTCAAGGATAATCAATGGAAACAGGATGCACCTGAGCTCAATTTCGAGTCTCATAGGAAAGGGTCTGAATACTTATGTAAATAAGGTACTTCTGTTTTGTTTATTTTATACATTTGCCAAAATTTCTAAAAAACCTGTTGTCGTTTTTTTATTATGGGGTATTGTGTGTAGATTGCTGAGATAAAAAAAAATGTTTTAGAATAAGGCCTTAGCGTAAGAAAAAGTAAAGGGGTCTGAATTCTTTCCAAAGGCACTGTATACTTTGTATCCCTCATTTACTCAAGTGTTTCCTTTATTTTGGCAGTTACTGACATGCCTACAGTCGGAAAGGCCGCAGTTTTTTGCTTGTGTTGTGGCCATAGACTTATGTCCATAGAAGCTTTTGGAAACTCTTACCCTGGCAATTTGACCGTTAAACTCTTGGGTACACTAACAATGGCTGCCAGTCTGACTTGGATGGAACTGCCATCTATGGATTATATTTCTATGGTTGGTTGCGCCTGTAGGTTTGTGCTTTGCAGAATTCAAAATACAATCGCCGAAAAATGTACAGTTTGGAAAACAAATGCCTATTGCTGAAACGAGAAGACTAATCTGTCTGTAGAACCAATAGAAATAATTATTTCTCAACAACTCCCAAAACAGCAGCACTGTTTTCCAAAGTAACTCATCTTGAGGATAGGCTATTGCCATGAGGAGCGCATCAGCCATCCCCGTGAGTAGCCTATGGCTTCATCTTCATCATTAAGTGAGTCAGTGTGCAACTGGAAATTATATTTAGTAGCTTACTGTAGCCTATAATATATATATATATATAGTACCAGTCAAAAGTTTGGACACATCTACTCATTCAAGGGTTTTTCTTTATTTTTACTATTTGTTACATTGTAGAATAATAGTGAAGATATGAAAACTATGAAATATCACATATGGAATCATGTAGTAACCAAAAAAGTGTTAAACAAATCAAAATATATTTTCTATTTGAGATTCTTCAAAAAGCCACCCAAACCATCTCAATTTGGTTGAGGTTGTGGGATTGTGGAGGCCAGCTCATCTGATGCAGCACTCCATCACTCTCCTTCTTGGTAAAATAGCCCTTACACAGCCTGGAGGCCTGTTGAAAAACAAGCCCAAACCAGATGGGATGGCGTATCGCTGCAGAATGCTGTGGTAGCCATGCTGGTCAAGTGTGCCTTGAATTCTAAATAAATCACAGACAGTGTCACCAGCAAAGCACCCCCACACCATAACACCTCCTCCTCCATGTTTTACGGTGGGAAATACACATGCGGAGATCATCCGTTCACTCACACCGCGTCTCACAAAGACACAGCGGTTGGAACCAAAAATCTCAAATTTGGACTCCAGACCAAAGGACAAATTTCCACCGGTCTATTGTCCATTGCTCATGTTTCTTGGCCCAAGCAAGTCTCTTCTTCTTATTGGTGTCCTTTAGTAGTGGTTTCTTTGCAGCAATTCGACCATGAAGGACTGATTCGCACAGTCCCCTCTGAACAGTTAATGTTGAGATTTGTCTGTGACATGAACTCTGTGAAGCATTTATTTGGGCTGCAATTTCTGAGGCTGGTAACTCTAATGAACTTATCCTCTGCAGCAGAGGTAACTCTGGGTCTTCCATTCCTGTGGTGGTCCTCATGAGAGCCAGTTTCATCATAGCGCTTGATGGTTTTTGCGACTGCACTTGAAGAAACTTTCAAAGTTCTTGAAATGTTCCGTATTGACTGACCTTCATGTCTTAAAGTAAGGATGGACTGTCATTTCTCTTTGCTTATAGGAGCTGTTCTTGTCATAATGTGGACTTGGTCTTTTACCAAATAAGGCTATCTTCTGTATACCCCCCCTACCTTGTCACAACACAACTGATTGGCTCAAACGCATTGAAATGCATTCCAGGTGACTACCTCATGAAGCTGGTTGAGAGAATGCGAAGAGTGTGCAAAGTTGTCATCAAGGCAAAGGGTGGCTATTTTGAAGTATTTCAAATATACAATATATTTTGATTTGTTTAACACTTTTTTGGTTACTACATGATTCTATATGTGTTATTTCATAGTTTTGATGTCTTCACTATCATTCTACAATGTAAAAAATAGTAAAAATAAAGAAAAACCCAGGTGTGTCCAAACATCTGACTGGTACTGTATTTCTTCCTAATATTGTACTATCTGTGTGTCGCTTCACTGGCCTGGGCTATTGTTTGTTTGAATTCAAGACCAGATTAATCTCAGTTTGTCAGTGTCAGAGTAGCCACTCATTTCGGTCATTTGTGTGGTATTAAGAAATATTCAGTTAATGTCTTCTGTCATGTAGATGAGGTAGAATTGCATGAAATGCATTTTCAAAAGGCTATGATTTCTTAATTCGGTCCTGCACACATCCCATTCAAGACACACCAGATAGACCATGTGAGGTAGACTTAGACTTTACCAGATGAGTTGACTGTATGACACAAAAATGTGTCGCAATACTAATTTGTTACGTATCTGAAGTAAATATCCAATAACCGGTTTGAACAGTTGAAATTATTAATAAAACTTAAGAGGAAGAAATGTGTCATTTTGAAAATGATACATGGCTCTCCTCTATCTTTCCCTCCATCCATCTTGCTCTCTTGACGCTTTTCAAAATTCGATTAAATATTCAAAAGCAGATAAGTGGGAGTTAGACCAAAATGTAGTATTTCATTCGATTGTTTCAAAGACATCATTGTTTTAATGACATCATTGCTTAAACACTTGTTAACCCTCTTTCACAAAATATCATATTTCCCCTCTCCCTTACCATCACATGTCCAGTAACTATCCCTAACCTGCTCTGACTGTAATGTTATGTAACACTTTCCATCTACCGAATGTTCACTCAATCTCTCCTATTTTAGATGGAGGAGGAAACAAGTGGATATTTGGCCACTTTGGACTATTGACCCAAACGTTTTAAATTTTCCTTGTCTCTTCTTTATCCCATCCAGAGTATGTGAGTGGAGCGGAGCTGGAGCGAGGAGCGGAGCGTGCCCAATTTGACTGGAGAACAGAGCGAGATTCCCAAAGGCTGGAACATGGGCCTTCTCGCCCACTCCAATTTCGCTCCAGTAGTGCTCACTTCACGAGCTCAGGGCATGCCTGGCACGGTATGCATTTGTAGTCTACTTGTGTGCTGCAATAGCCCATTGCTTTAGCTACTGTTATGGAGTTCGCTAAATATTTTCATAAAGAAGCTGATAAAACACACAGGTGCAAAATCAAGGTGATTTACAACTTACAAAGATGAGGACAAAGACCAAGAGAGGGAGTGCAGTGATGTATTGTCCACAACTAAAGAATCATTGTGGAATCTGAAATGACACATATCCCGAAAGCATGATGGTGTACTTACTACTTGCACATGCTAAAAGAAAGGAACAAGGTGGGTAGCTAACTAAGTGTGTCATTGTAGCAATGTATTTTTAAACTAAAAATCAGATCTCTTAAAGGTTTTGTTAATTTTTGTTCTATAATCTATACAATAGGCCATAATTGATTTTGGCCCAATAGGCCTGGCATATTCCAACTTTCAAGGAGCTTTCCGTTTTGATTGCGTTATTTTGCCTAAAAAACATTTAAGCCTACCTATAGACAAATAACAAAATAAAAACTCTTCATCTCTGCCCAACCTGGCAAGAGTGGCCTGGAGGGTGTTTAGCCCAGTGGCCCTGCAAACGCAGAGAGGATATTCTCCATTGCTGGCCTGCTCTCCAGGTACCATCGCTTGAGCCTGGTCAATCTCGTGTTTCTAAAAATGATTGAAGTTGTATTTAATTCTTAGTAAGTCAGCCTATATGCGCAATTTATAGACTATAATGATTTAATACAACGAAATGTTGTTTAAATGCTGAGCCCTTTATGTCCCTACCAGCCTATTGTGTCGCACTCGCAAATGCTTCACAATGTATTTCTTTGTAGGTTATAGCCTTGAAATATTTGAAATAATATAGCCTAAATAATTAATTTGTGTTCCTTCTTAGGCTCCCTGTCTGGCTCCTGACCAATTTAAAGTGTTTATATGTTGTTTAATACGACGTGTAGCCTATTTTAAATGATGAACGCTTCTTACATTCACCTTTTCACGTTTATTAAAATACTTTTCATTCAAATCATATGGTTTACTTTCAATACTTCAAAAGCAAATGGTAGGTCCAGGTAGTCCCAAAAATAGATGGGTGTTGGTTAAATTGTGATTTTAATGAATGGAGCGAATTTGGAGCAGGAGTTTCTTTTGCGCAAGCATCGCTCCATGAGCGATGAGTGGGATTTCCGATCGCTCAACTCCGCTCACAAACTCTGATCCCATCTCACTACTCCCTTGCCGCCTTACCTCACAAAACTCATTCTCGCTCCTGAAGTCGGGCAACATCTCCAGGCAGAAGATGAGGATGGGCACCACGATCACCATGACGCTGGTGATGGCGATGATGCTCTCGCCCGACAATGACTCTGGATGCTCAAACAGCATCCACAGACTCCTTGGGGAAGTCCTCGTCCTCCTCGAAGCACGCCATGATCTGCTCGACCAGCTCATAGAAATGCAGCTCGTCAATGAAAACATCCAGGGGAACATTGGCGGGCCGCCGGAAGCCGCCCGCCCGGCTGGGAAAAGCAGAGCATGGCGTCAAAGCAGGCCCGATTGCAGTCCAAGAAGAGCTCATTGTGCAACAGGTCGAAGTAGCGAAGCCGGCATCTGGGGTCGCCCAGCATGGAGTCCGGGAACTGGGCCAAAGTGTGGAGTTGGGTCTCGTAGTGCATCCCTGAGACGTTGATGGTGAGACGTTCGCTCAGCGCCCAGCTGCTCCTCAACAGGGACCTGGACTGCCGGCTCTCTCGCGTCCTTCTCACCCACTTTCTTCTCCTTCTCGCCCTTCTCCTCGCTGTTGAGATGGTTCTTTAGCTGTTTGTCTTTCGTTCCTTCTTCAATGTCTCTCTTTCCTCCTCCTACACCTCTTTCTGGGTCGTTCTTTTCCATCCCTGTAGTAAGAACAGGTTGGATGTGGGTCTTAAACCAGAGTGGGAATTGAATCAGTTTGGGAACAGATGCATCACTACACATATGACATAATCATTATTAGTTGCAGGGTTTAAGCTGTAAATATGCAAAAGGTGGCAGTCATGTCAAAAATCTTTGTTACTGTTCAGTTCTCTGTCAGACATGCAAATGTACATAGGCCTGTACTATTACAAAATCATATCCATACTCATAAACTATACATAATGTCCAAATAAGTATGTCCAAATAATCAAAATATATTTGTTACGGTACTCTTCACTCATTTCACACATTTTATTATGTAACACATTTCATCTATTAAATACAGTGTATTCGGAAAGTATTCAGACCCCTTGGCTTTTTCCACATTTTGTTACGTTACAGCCTTATCCTAAAATGGATTAAATAAAAAAAATGTCCTCACAATACCCCATAGTGAAAACAGGTTTTTAGAAATTTAGGAAATGTATTTAAAAAACTAGAACAGGAATACCTTATTTACATAAGTATTCAGACCCTTTGCTATGTGACAATAAATTCAGCTCAGGTGCATCCTGTTTCCATTGATCATCTACAACTTGATTGGAGTCCACCTGTGGTAAATTCAATTGATTGGACATGATTTGGAGAGGCACACACCTGTCTATATAAGGTCCCACAGTTGACATTGCATGTCAGAGCAAAAACCAAGCCATGAGGTCGAAGGAATTGTCCGTAGAGTTCCGAGACAGGATTGTGTCGAGGCACAGATCTGGGGAAGGGGACCAAAATATTTCTGCAGCATTGAAGGTCCCCAAGAACACAGTGGCCTCCATCATTCTTAAATAGAAGAAGTTTGGAACCCCCAAGACTCTTCCTAGAGCTGGCCGCTCGGCCAAATTGAGCAATTGGGGAGAAGGGCCTTGGTCAGGGAGGTGACCAAGAACCCGATGGTCACTCTGACAATGCTCCAGAGTTCCTCTGTGAAGATGGGAGAACCTTCCAGAAGGACAACCATTTACATTTTTAGTCATTTAGCAGACACTCTTATCCAGAGCGACTTACAGTTAGTGAGTGCATACATTTTCATACTGGCCCCCCTCTGCAGCATTCCCCCAATCAGGCCTTTATGGTAGAGTGGCCAGACAGAAGCCACTCCTCAGTAAAAGGCACATGAAAGCCCTCTTGGAGTTTGCCAAAAGACATCTAAAGACTCTCAGACAATGAGAAACAAGATTCTCTGGTCTAATGAAACCAAGATTGAACTCTTTGTCCTGAATGCCAAGTGTCACGTCTGGAGGAAACCTGGCACCATCCCTATGGTGAAGCATGGTGGTGGCAGCATCATGCTGTGGGGATGTTTTTCAATGGAAGGGACTGGGAGACTAGTCAGGATCGACGGAAAGATGAACGGAGCAAAGTACAAAGAGATCCTTGATGAAAACCTGCTCCAAAGCGCTCAGGACCTCAGACTGGGGCGAAGGTTCACCTTCCAACAGGACAACGACCCTAAGCACAGAGCCAAGACAACGCAGGAGTGGCTTTGGTTCAAGTCTCTGAATGTCCTTGAGTGGCCCAGCCAGAGCCCAGACTTGAACCCGATCAAACATCTCTGGAGAGACCTGAAAATAGCTGTGCAGCGACGCTCCCCATCTAACCTGACAGAGCTTGAGAGGATCTGCAGAGAGGAATGGGAGAAACTCCCCAAAAACAGGTATGCCAAGCTTGTAGCGTAATACCAAAGAAGACTCGAGGCTGTAATCGCTGCCAAAGGTGCTTCAACAAAGTACTGAGTAAAGGGTCGGAATACTTATGTAAATGTCATATTTCGTTTTTTTATTTTTAATAAATTAGCTAAAATTTATAAAAACCTGTTTTTGATTTGTCATTATGGGGTATTGTGTGCAGATTGATAAGGGACATAAAAAAAATATATCAATTTTAGAATAAGGCTGTAACGTAACAAAATGTGGAACATTTCAAGGGGTCTGAATACTTTCCGAATGCACTGTAATTGGTGGCGATAGAACAGTAACGACAATGCACTGTAAACATGAATTATAACGACTAACAAGCCCTTGTTAGTACACAGTTAGCCAGATGTAGAGAGTCACTCACTTAGTGAATAGCAGCCACTGACAGAGACTAATTGCATGACGGAAAGTCACATTGTTTGTCTCCCAAGACTCTTAAGAATATCTCTCTTTTGGTCTGTCACCATGTCCGTCTGTTCGTCACGTGGTCTTCTATGGTTGTCCCCAACTCCGAGACACTCCTTGATGGACACTCCTCCAGTACTTGTCCACTCCTGTCTCTCACCTCCCTGACCTGTTCATGAATTACGTTTGCACCTGTTTGCGGTTGAATACTCACAATTCAGTCCTTGGGGGCTGGTAGCTTAGCGGTTAAGAGCGTTGGGCCAGTAACCGAAAGGCCTCTGATTTGAATCCCTGAGCCAGCAAGGTGGAAAAATCAGCCGTTCTGCCATTGAGCAAGGCATTTAACCCCCAACAACAACTGCTCCCTGGGCGCCAATGATTTCAATTAAGGCAGCCCCCTGCACCTCTCTGATTCAGAGGGTTGGGTTAAATGTGGAAGACACTTTTCAGTTGAATGCATTCAGTTGTGCAACTGACTAGGTATCCCTTTCCTCTTCTCTCTCAGATGGTGTCCATCTTAATTATTTTGGGAAAACTGTCCTGTTGAAATTCAATCTGCCCACGGCCACTCCCGTTCTTTCCCTCCCTTTTGGGCCAGGAACAACCTTCGCCCTCTCAAGCCCTCTCAAATGTCACCCCCTCTGCCCCTCTGCACTGGTACTTGGTGTGTTACTGTACCATCCCTAACTTAAATGGGGCTCACTCTATAAGGCGGACAACTGAGGTGGCTGACTGTTATTTGTTGGATTGAATGCCCTTTGAGTGACATGATTGACTTCAGTGATGGACTGTATAACGTTAAGGTTAATACAAGTGATAAACATAATGTCATTCCACAAATCTAAATGATCACTGACGTGCTGCCTAGGCGAATATGATGTTCATCATAGTCTCAAGTTATGATAATCTGAATATTCAAAATCTAGCAGGTTAGCAGGCTAGGTTGCTAAAGGGTAGCAGGCTATTGAACAAGCATGCAGCTCACAGACATTTTTATTGCAGAGACGTTCAATTCCTGCCAAATAAAAAGCTAGCTAGATTATGGTTGTTTTTTGTAAACTCCTCATCAGCACAATTATGAGAGGAAACGAAATAATGATGAAAATGAAAGAATGTCTGAAACAACAGTGTCAACAATAGATAGACCTAAACGTTTCAGAAAATGAATGTTCTGTCCATAAACTTTGCAGTTATGCAGAATAAAACAGAACTGTCCACTTCACAATAGTTGTACCTTTAGGTATTTTCAATATCACACATAATACAGAATTTTGGGGGTGACCCTTGGACAGCTCTTGACAAAATCATGTAGAAAGACTAAATATTTTACAACATAAGAAATGTTGATATTTTCCAATATATATTTGGTAAATATTATTTATATTCATTCAAATAAGTACATAATAGTAAAAGTCAAACATTGCCTCAACTGAACTAAAATCCTACGGATAAAAGGTCTCGGTCTGTGAACTGCATGTGATCATCTTGTTTTGAGAAAGGTTGTGAGGAAATTCCCAGGGGGGTGTCCCTGGGGTGTGTCCTGAATTGTATTTTATCTATTTATTTTATTTCACCTTTATTTAACCAAGTAAGCCAGTTGAGAACAAGTTCTCATTTACAACTGCGACCTGGCCATGATAAAGCAAAGCAGTGCGATAAAAACAACAACAACAACACATAATTACATATGGGATGAACAAAACATACAGTCAATAACACAATAGAAAATATATATACAGTGTGTGCAAATGTAGTAAGTTATGGAGGTAAGGCAATAAATAGGCCATAGTGCAAAATAATTACAATTTAGTATTAACACTGGAGTGATAGATGTGCAGAAGATGATGTGCAAATAGAGATACTGGGGTGCAATTGAGCAGAATAAATAACAATGTAAATAACAAAATGGGATGAGGTAGTTGGGTGGGCTAATTACAGATGGGCTGTGTACAGGTGCAGTGATCGGTAAGGTGCTCTGACAACTGATGCTTGAAGTTATTGAGGGAGATAAGTGTCTCCAGCTTCAGAGATTTTTGCAGTTCGTTCCAGTCATTTGTAGCAGAGAACTGGAAGGAATGGCGGCCAAAGGAGGTGTTGGCTTTGGGGATGACCAGTGAGATATACCTGCTGGAACGCATACGACGGGTGGGTGTTGCTATGGTGACCAATGATCTAAGATAAGGTGGGGATTTGCCTAGAAGTGATTTATAGATGACCTGGAGCCAGTGGGTTTGGCGACGAATATGTAGTGAGGGCCAGCCAACGAGAGCGTACAGGTCATAATGGTGGGTAGTATATGGGGCTTTGGTGACAAAACGGATGGCACTGTGATAGACTACATCCAATTTGCTGAGTAGAGTGTTGGAAGCTATTTTGTAAATGACATCGCCAAAGTCAAGGATCGGTAGGATAGTCAGTTTTACGAGGGCATGTTTAGCAGCATGAGTGAAGGAGGCTTTGTTGCGAAATAGGAAGCCGATTCTAGATTTAACTTTGGATTGGAGATGCTTAAAGTGAGTCTGGAAGGATAGTTTACGGTCTAACCAGACACCTAGGTATTTGTAGTTGTCCACATATTCTAAGTCAGACCCGTCGAGAGTAGTGATTCTAGTCGGGCGGGCGGGTGCAAGCAGCGTTCGATTGAAGAGCATGCATTTAGTTTTACTAGCATTTAAGAGCAGTTGTAGGCCACGGAAGGAGTGTTGTATGGCATTGAAGCTCGTTTGGAGGTTTGTTAACACACTGTCCAATGAAGGGCCAGATGTATACAAAATGGTGTTGTCTGAATAGAGGTGGATCTGAGAGTCACCAGCAGCAAGAGTGACATCATTGATATACACA